GGGAAGAGGGGAGTCCTTGGAGCTCTAAGTGCGCCAAGATCCCGAGGAAGGATCACACCTTCCAGGATTCGGTGACAAGAAAGATGAAGGAATCCGGGAGAGAAGGCGAGCCTGCAGGAAAGTGGTCAGCAGTCCCGTCCCACCCGCCCACCCAGGGCCAGCACGCCTCCTCCATCCCCTATGTCTGCCAAGCACACGTGACATGTTTGAATCCATTGATGAACTCAGATTGGACGCAACCAAGATCCCACCATGGTGCAATATTCACTACTGAAAAACTAACCATAGTCCTAAAACAGCAGGCTAAAATTTCAGTAGATCCAGAGCCTCCAACTAGGAGCCAATGTAAGTAACCGGCACTATTGACGTTAGAAGGGCCTCAGTCACCATTAACAATGAGCCTGTTGCACCAAGTCTACTATTGGGCTTCTGCCAAATGACTGATTAGGAGTGAGATTTACAGGGTGGTGGGTCCGGCTGGAAATGAAGTACAATAGACATTCGGAAGTTTTGTATCTGTGAGGAGATACTCAGTGTTCAGCAGCACTAGAACAATACAGTCAAGCTTGGTGTTTTTTCACAAAGCAGAGCAAGGCTTTTCAGAAAACAGGCACCAAAGGATGAACATGTCCTGAAGTGAAATTGCTACGTGCGGCCCAGTGAGACCAGATGTGCCCTAGAGGGAAACGAAGCTATGCCAGGTATCCAAGAAGATCCTGGGAAAGCAGAGGAGCAGGTGCGTGATGCCTGGAATTTTGTATCCAGTTCCAAGATTCTATATGAGAACAACAAAAATAAAAGAGAAGCATTTCATTAAAACTACAACCAGGGCCTCCCTGGTGGCGCAAGGGGTTAAGATGCAACCTATGAAGCTATCAGCAGTTTCTGCAGCACGAGCTCAATCCCCGGCCAGGGAGCTACCCACATGTCGCAGCCGACCTGTCCTGACTCACCTGCTGCTCCCCTCAGCAGTGTATTTCAGTCAACCCACCTGTTCTGTTCTCCATTCTGTCTCCAGTGAATCCTCTCACCCCCCCACACCTCTGGCCTGGACCCCAGTTCTTGTATGCATAAATAAATAAATCGTGAAAAAAAATAAAACTACAACCAACTGGAGACTGCCAAGAGTCGGTCAGACTGAAGGAACTGCACTGGGTAGAGTCCCTCCGGGCAGGAAGAGGCGGCTTGGCTGGACACAGAATCACTGGTGTGCAGCATCTGCGTGTGTGCATGTGTGAATGGTGCCTGAATAACCAATGTGAGAGTGACTATGTCTGTTAAAAATAGCTACTTTTTGCACGAAAATGCCTGGCCATCACCTCCCAATGTTGGTTATAGATGTTTGGTTCTAAATGATTACTTCTGTTGATATCTGACTTCCATGAACTCAAAAAACCAAATGCTCTCCCAAGAGACTGATGGGCTGCTTATTTCATGATGCTGCCCCCTCACCTGCCCAACATGTTGACGTAAGTTTGAATTTCATTGGTGAGCACCTATTGCCCACCACACAACATTCCCTAATGTTTGCTGAGTTCAGATTTGGAGGAGAAGGAAGGGGCTGAGGATGTGTCCTGCAGCAAAAGAAATCAGCTGCATCCTGGAGAGCCAGAAAGTACAGCAGAGGGAACCACAGGGAGGAAGAGGGGTGTGGGACCTCTGACCTATGGGAAATTCACAGAGCAGGAGCAGAAGGAGACACTCAAGAAACCAGAACAACTCAATGATGGGTGGGAGGTAGAAGCCAGGGGTTATTTACCCTGACATACATGAAAGCCATCGGGGAACTGTAGGAAAACACAATGATCCCAAAAAGATTTGAATTCACTTGTTCTGGGGTAAGATGCAGGCAACAATGTCATCTCAAAGTTCTCTGGGTATCTCTAACAGGTAGCACTAGTTGAGAGCCATCTATTCCAACTGCAGGACACAAAAGAACACAGACAAGAGGGAGATTAGTCAAGGCAGGAGCAATCAGGAAGGCTTCCTGGAAGAGGAGACAGTGAAGGGGAAAAGAGGTAGGTTTTTAGGGAAGCAAGGATAAAAGAGATCTGGGGCACATATGACCATGAGGACACCAAGTCCAATAGTGCAAACCGCTTCTGATAGACAATCAGGAAAAGTGAGAGTCCCCAGGTTGGGTCGCTACACCACATATCAGCATCTCTTCAATACACAGGGCGCTTGTCCATCTTGTCTGGTCCTATGGGCAGCAGTGGGAAGCAGGCGAGCAGTGGGCACATAAACATATCCATCTCACCAATGAGGAAATGCAGAGGCAGAGGGTTTGAGTGACTCAGTAAGAGTAGTGTTTTTAGAAAATTAGTCCAGTGATAGCAAGCAGTGTGAATTATAGTGTGGGAGAGAGAATTCCAGGAGGTCCCTGAGAACAGCGTTGCTGTCTCATAAGTGTGAGATAATACTAGTCCCCAGCATGGCAGAGGGCTTGGGGAGCACAGCAGAGAGAGCATCTAAGAGCCACCTTACTGCACTGCATCCTTCTATTTGCGTTTGGTGCATAGGCACCAATCTTTAACACAGTAGGTTAAAGTTGGAGCAACTCCGTCTGCATTAAGAATCAGGAGGCTGTGGAGCAGAGAGGATGGATACGCGCAAACAGACATGGCTGAACATCGGGCTTGCCAGCAAGGAGAACCTTTCCATACAAGTTGATTTCATTTATTTCTATAATATAACACATCTTATTAACTGTAATATCCCTGCTATTTTCAACAGTCATACCAAATACAAGCTCATCCCATCCACTGCCACCCCCATTATCTCATGCAGTTTTAAATGTTTGGGAAGCTTTCTCTTATTCCTGATGTTTCCTTCCAAATAGCAGGAATGGTATTGCTGATAAAATGGGGCTTTTCTCATTTCCCACTTCATCTTTCATTTGATTGATGAATTTGAGAAAAATAACAGAGGCTGCTCAGCTGAACTCTAACTTTATTCTCGCCAACCAATCCATGGAGAATAGGACATCTCCCAAAATTCGTGCTGGGGCAACCTTTACCTTCTGAAAAGCGCTGTCCCATTCAGGGCTACCTGGGCTGGGTGGACGAGCTTGCCTTTAGCATGAACAAACCCTCTTGACTAAGAGAGCTACCCCTCTATCCTCACCTTTGCTGTTATCTATTATGCATTTGAAACCCACTCTTATTTTCAGTTCATAACTTTTCCAGGGAAGACAAGAGAAATCCTACTCATGGGGAACTTCCTCAGGGACCCCAACAGTTGACAACATTATTGGAGCAAGAAGAGATTCCTCACGTGAACCCCATGGCACTGGCAGACCCAGGCTGGGTTTTCATTCCTCAGTAGCATGGAAAGGAAAAGGTGGTTGACAATCCTCCCAAGGAGCCCAGCATCTTAATTAGTCCGCCTGCACACCCAGCAAGGAAGCTGCTCTGATTCGGTTCTGGGCTTCACTCTGGGAAATGCCATCAGGCCACAAGAGAACCCAAATTTCGCAGGCATCTTGTGTAGTTACAGACTGTTGCCTCCATCAAAATCCTTCATCCAAGCAGCCAAATACATGATTGGCAGGCGCTATTCTGTGATTTTTTTTACAGCACTGAGAAAGCTCACAACCCAAGATAAATATTTTAATATTATTTACCTTGCTAAACATCCTAATGAACCACCTCATTACAGTTTACTTTGAAAGGCAAAGACATAAAAGATCATTTTTTTTTACATTTCTAGTTCTTTCCATAAGGTTAAAATCAATGACTTTTAGGAAGCAAGGGTCAAAAGTCATTTTCTTCAGATCTTGGAATTAAATGACTAAGTTTCAAATGTATCTGCATTCTCTGAGGGGCGACCTTTCCATAAGGGCTTAGACCAAGTTGACCTTGGTCATCTAGAGTCCACAGTTACCCGCTCATACCAGGAAATGCTCTTCTTCCCACTGAGCCACAAATTCATGTATCGATACCATCTCCTTTTACCCAATATTTTTAGATCACTTTTCCCCTAAGGAAGATGTGGAATAAATACACATCTTCAGCCAAGTACAGTTAAGTGATGTGATAAGTAGAGAAAACAGAAATTTAATTTTTTGGTTATTGAGTTTTTTTTACAATCTCTATTTTTAACATGTTTCAGTAATTTGCTCTCAATTTACCCCACTTATATTTCCAAGATCCCACTTTATTAGCCCTTTAATTGCATATCTAAATAAACTTGGCTGTGGTTCCAATTTATACCAATTTGAGTCCTTCTCAACCTTCCTACTCCTTGGGGCACACACAAGGGGAGGAGAGAGAGGTTGGCAGAGGCAGGGCTTGGGCAGCTCAGGAGATAGGAACCTGGGCAGGAGTTAATTGCTCACCAGGAGCATGTTCCCAGGGCTTAAGTCAGGTGAAAGGAGAAAGTTTCCATGAAATTCGGTGCCAAGCGGCTAGTGGAGGTGGGCTAGGGGTTCTTATTTCCCGCATTCCCTCACTTAATAAGGCCTAGAGGGAGGAATTTCTTCCACAGCAGGAAGATGAGGAGTGAACAATTTCCACTTGCAGGGTTCAGAGCCTTTTGCTGACTCTTATAATGCTTAAATTTCCTCCCTCCCTCTCTTACTACAGAAGTCTGTCTGTCAGTGTTTAGATCAAGCCTTGCCTCCTCCAGAAAACCTCCTCTGACCTCACCTGCTTGAGGCTATCACCAGTTCAGGAATGAATTCTAGTCTAGCCAAGAAGCATCTATCACCTGTTCAGTCATAGAATTGATGGCAATATCAGATTGAGCAGTTTGAGGATTTTTCAGGTACCATCAACACAAGATAAAGTAGAAAAAACACAATTAAGAAAAATCAGTGAGCAACTTGAATTAAAATTATGGTGCTTTCAGTTGAAATGGAAGCTCTAGAAATGATTGAGAACCATGGAGGGACATCAGGATTCATCTAGCCCTGACTCTATTTCATGAATAAGTTCTTCTTTTAAAAAAACAAAACACATTTCTAACAAGCTCTAATACACCCTCCATACCAGTCCTACCTGACTCCTCACAGAGGCAGAGAATTTAGTTCTTCTCCCCAACTCACGTGGAATGTTTCTGAAAGTCAAGATCAGCCCATTCAGTCTGTTCAGTTGACTTTTGTCTCTGTCCTGTTTGATAACGGAAAGAGATTATTGAGATGACCTCTTTCATGCATCCTCACATACTATTTTGCCCAGTACCAGTACAGAGAACCAGCACGCCTATGCTGCTGACCATCTCTATCTATCTCTCCATCTAGCTGTCTAGTATTTACTTGGTCTTGAGGGTCAACCAGCTGGATGAAATTTCTCAAGCCAAGTACCCCCAAACACAGGGAGTCTATAGCCTTAAACCCAGATACCGCAGCTACTTGTTTATTCATCCATTCATACATTCAATACTCCATCTGGGGACATCCATAACATATCAGGCATTGTTCTTGAAATTGCAGGAATGGCAGAGAACAAGCTCAGTAAAATTCCTGCCCTTTCAAAGAGTCTATGTTCTAATGAAAGAGATGAACTAACAAGAGAGTGTAGCTATATCCATAAGATAATGTAATGATAAGTGTAATGTAATAAAGTGGTATCAAGTGTCTGAGGATATTATTTCAGGTGGTAAAAGAGAATCTGAGGTGGTGATGTTTGAGCAGACACCTGAATAAAGTACCGAGCTATGTTAATATCAGAAAAAGAAGCTTCCGAGGGAAGCACATTCCTGGTGCCAAAACTGAGGTAGGAGGTGTAGCAGGTGAAGAAAAACAAAGTCTGTGCAGCTGGAACAAGTCAGAAGAAGGAAGGTAGTGTGAGGAGAAGGTCAGGGGTGAGAGTTTGATCAAGGACATAAAAATAATTAGCATGCTGAGTCCTTTCTTGGTGTTTATATCAGAAGCTGTTGAAGGGTTTTGATGAATGTCACAGTCTCCGTCTTTCTACATTCACACTAGCTGCTCCACAGAGAACAGAACAGATTGTGTGGGCCCCAGAGTGAAGGCCAGGAGCCCAGGCAGGAGTCTCTCTTGCTTGTTCCTGCTGCTTCCTGTGTATCGCCTTTCCAGATCAGTTGCAATTTGTTCCAGAGCAGCCTGTTCTGATCTGTCTGGAAACCCCATTGATCGGCTCCAGGAAACCTTCTAGAGCCCCAAACAGCTTCATACATTTTCTCCCACTGTGCTTTCCTTTCTTTGGTAGCCCAAGTGAAGCTATTCAAGCCACTGTTTAGGGGACATCAGTCAATTCACCTAAATGTTCCACCTGCCTGCACCCAGGGTCAAATCCTGTTCAGATAGCACCAGGAGACAAGCTGACTAACTTCATACACCAGATCTTACTAACATGCAAGTGAACAGTGTAATATTAATACATGACCCATCCAAAGGGCAGGTGCCTATTCCAAAAAGATGGGTCTCTAGCAACATCATTCCAGAAGCCACAATGAACTTTGCACAAAGCATTAGCAGGACATTAGATCCTTCATAAAAGCACAAGGGAAAAATGAGACCATGTGTGTCAAATCTGAAATTATCTCTAATTAGATCATCAACATGGAATCACTAATGCCTGGGATGGCAAAACCATTTTAAAAATAAAGAGAATGCCCCAAATTAGAAAACACTGGCAGAAAACCATAAGATTCATTCTCATAACTTCAAAATTGTAATTACTTTGGGAATGTCTAGAAAAATGCTGGTAAACTTTTATCAACATTATTTTACTAATGATGCTATGGGGGCCTCTTTTTCATCACCTTCAATTTCTTCCTCTCTGCAATCTACCTCCTAAGCTTCAAAAGCAACTTGGTTTCTAGTGTCAAGTCCCTGAAACACAAATAGGTACAACCCTACAGATCCACTTTTGGACTCACCCCCAAGGGACCCAGCTCCTCCCCCAAAATGACATGGCTTGGAAAAACATAGGTAGGTCTAGATACTAGTCCCTAACACCTGTCATTGGGCAGATCACCCATGTGATGTTACCTGGGGACATTTAAGAAGCACGCACTTACTCTAAAGCCCAGGAGACAGTGCATTCAGGCCATTTGAGTGCTGGCTTTTCAGAGGACATTGGTCACCTCGGAGAATTTTGTGCCTCCAGGGGATTTAAAGAAGGAAGATTCCTGCGGTCTGGAGTCTGAAGGATGGTGATGCCACTAAAGCAGCAGATTAAATATTTTTGTGATTCCATAAGTGGAAAACAAACTGCTCGGTGAATGGCAGGCTCTGCACAGATGCCACCTATTAAATAATTAAAATAAAGTAGAAATTAAAAATAAACAGTGGGAAATGATTTGAAACACATACCACCAAGGGAAGCAGAAAGAGTAACTTGGGAATGAAGAAGTGAGTAAAATTAGATTTGAGTTATTTCTAAATTCAAATGCATCTGGATTAACTGGCTGTCTTTCTCCCATTGTCAGCATGAAATAAACAATACCTTAAAGTGAGAAATCCTAGAAGTAAGAGCAATACTAATGCATCTTTGACAGGAAAAGAAGTGCCCAGATTTTGCTGATTAAGACAAGATGGGCAGACATAGAGTAACATACAATGGAGGGAAAATGAAAATGGAATTTGTAGTGGTCTATAATGAACCACTGAACGGTAGTTACACACAACAGTAAATAGTTACCTCTCGTATTTGTATGTCACTTGTTAATTTACCCTTCTCTACTGGGCATGTCCAGGGGGCTCTGCTTCAGGCTGAAGGTCAGATTGGGAGGGGCATCTCACACTTGAAGTTTGGGCTCTGGTCTATGTAGTCCTGTGTACTTATTCTGGGTAATAGCTACCCAGAGGTAGCTGAGTTCATGGCCATGGTGTAACTTTCAAGAAGGTGAGTAGAGATGCATAATTCCTTGAGGCCTCAACCTGGCACTGGCAAACGGCCATTCCTACCCACATTCTAGTACAAGTGTCATGGTCAAGCCCTCTCTCAATGAGATGGGAAAATACACTCCAACCACTCTAACTGGTATTGTGAACCACAAAGGAGAAGGTATGGATGTGGAATTCTAACAAAGAAGATCAGGCAGAACCAATGATTCAGTTGTCCACGGGTTTTGTTTAACAGGATAGTTTTCAATGAAATTGCTTCTGGGGTCCTTCAAAATGATGCCCTAGACCACAGCTTGGCAAGCAATGGCACATAGGCCAAATTCAGCCTACTACCTCTTTACGTATGTCCTGCAAGCTGAGAATGGTTTTAATGTTTTTGAATACCTGGGGGAAAAACACAGACAAAAGAACAATGATGCTTTGTGACACATTGAAATTATATGACATTCAAATATCAGTGTCTATAAATAAAGTTTCATTGTGACATAGCCTTACTCATTCATCGGTGCACTACCTAGACTGCTTTTGCACAAAACCAGAGGGGCTGAGAGTTGCAGCAGGGGCCAGGAGGCCTGCAAAGTCTAAAATATTCACTACCTGACCCTTTAAAGAAAAAGCTTGAATAAAATAGAAGTCAATTTTAATGATATATCTATGTAACCAAATATATCCAAAATAATAATTACCAAAAAATTACTAATGAGCTACTTTCCATTATTTTTTATACTGAGCCTGTAAAAACTTCCGTATTTAATACACATCTCATTTCAGACTAATCACATCTCAACTGCTCAGTAACCATATGTAGTTAGTTGGTGGAGACAAACTTGTTATTTGTCTTCCCTGCAAGAGGCCTAATCCTGTTTATTCCCCAAATCTCTTCTTAAATCAACTTATTCCAAATTATCTCTTAGCTTGAATGATTACAGAATATACATCTATAGCCAATATTATATTATTGTTTTTTGAGAAGTGCCCTACCCAAAGCAGATGTTCCAGATATATTTGTTGGATAAATACATGAACAAATGATGCACTTGTTCATATCATGTTTCTGGAGTCATTCTCTGACTTCCTTGTTGGATTCCTGGCTCCTCTAAATAAACAATTTGCTCCTTAAATGGGATGATCAGCTCCCCTCATTAGATCAACACTCCTGCAGTTACCAGCTATAAAGTGTGAGGAAATATCTTGTTAAATGGCTACATGGTAGTGTCAAAAACATGAAGAAACTTGAGGTGAGACTATAACTGAAAGGAGAGTGACACTGGATTAATTCCTCACTTTTACCTTTTCTAACACAAAGGCAGACTTCTCAAGAACAAGCACGGCAGCTAAAACTTGATTGAAATCCCCCAGTCTTACTGGCTGACTGGAAAGGGAAGGTTAATCCGAAATGTGATGAACCAAGGAGCAGGAGTCCTATAGTCTGCATATAAACTCTGCCCAAATCCCTGGCCATCCCCTGAACACCACACGGGTGGAACAGACATGAGGAGGCCCAGCTGAGACAAGAATCGAGCAGAAAATGTTGCTGCTGCTGACAACAGGAACCAGAGTTGAGTTTTAGTCTAGCCAAGTTAAAATTTCTGCTTAAAAATAAAACACCCCTCTTTAGATGAATATAACAGAATGATCCAGAGTGTCTAAAAAAATCTGGGCATCTAGAAAGACCTGGACACAATCTGAAATGATTAGACATCTAAAAAGCAGCAAAATGGTTCTCTGGCTGAACCTGCAATAACCCAGATGTTGGCATTAGGGAAAAAAAAGGTTACTAAATAAGATATTATAACAATGCTGAAGGACATAAAGGAAAATGTTCACTGAACAAATAAAAACATAGAAAATCTTAGCAGAGAAATAGAAAGTATAAAAAGGAACCAGTTGAAATTATACAATTGAAATCTAAAATTATCTGAGACAAAACATTCACTGGATGACAACAACATCATGATCTGTGTAGGAAAAATCCTATAAAAATCTACCCAAAAAGCTGAAAGAACTAATATGTGTGTGGTTAGCAAGACTTCAGAATACAAGTTCAATTAAAAAAATCAATTATAGGGGTCTCTACTAGTAACAAATAATCAGAAATTATACTTTTTTAAAAATAAGGTAATTAACAGTAACAACCAAAGCTATGAAACACTTAGATATAAGCATAACTAAACATATGCAATGCCTGTATACTGAAAGCTACAAAACATGGGTGAGGGAAATTGAAGAAGACCTAAACAAATTAAGAGATACACAGTTTCATGGGTGGAAAGACCCAATATTATTAACATGTCGATTGTCTCTAAACTGACCTATGGGTTCAACACAATTCCAACCAAAATTGAAGTAAGTCTTTTTTGTAGAAATTTATGCTGGTTCTAAAATTTATATGGAAATGTGAAGGACACAGAATATCACAATATTGAGAGGAATAAAGTTGAAGGACTTACAATATGTGGCTGGAGATTTATTATGAGGCTACTATAATCAAGAGAGTGTAGCACCAGCATCAAGATAGACAAATAGATGCATAAAGCAAAGCAGAGTCCAAATAGTTGACCCACACATAAATTTTCAATTTATTTTTTAAAATGTAAAGCAATTCAGTGGGGAAAGCTTAGCATTTTCAACAAGTGATATTGAAACAATTGAGTGCTTATTTGCATAAATGAATTAATACATTCCAATTCATAAATCATATGTACTGGGATTGTATCATACACAGTATTTTACTCAAAATAGATTATAGGGCATAAATAAAAAATCTAAAATTTCAAACTCCTAGAAAAATGTATGGAAAGAAAATCCTTTTTTTTTGTCTTAGGTGAAACAAAGGTAACTTACATGTGTCAACCTCAGTATTATTGACATGTGGGGCCACATAATTTTTTGTTGGGGGAGGGGAGCTTTCCTGTGCAATGACTGATGCTTAGCTGTACCCCTGAACTCTACCTCTGGGTGGAATCACTTCCACCCTAGCCCAGACTACACACCAGAAGCACCGCTCCAGTTATTTCAATCAAAGACGTCTGCAGACATTGTCAAATTCCATTCGCACAGGAGGAAAAACTTCCCCTGGTTGGTAACAAGAGCCACAATAGATAGATGGATAAACAGATAGATAGATAGATAGATAGATAGATAGATAGATAGATAGATAGATAGATAGATAGATAGAAGATAGAGTAATTAAAAAGGCACTAAGAAATAACATAGGATGTGTCAACATAAAAAGGCTAGTTAAAAGGTCAATGAAATACACTAAAATAGAATTCTGTAAGGTATTTTGCTTATCTAAAAAAAACACAAGAGCAACAAAGAGAAAATGAGACAAACAAATAGCAATATGCCAGGTATAAATCCAACTATATCAATAATTACATTCAATTTAAATGACCTAAAAATCAGAGTGTGTCAGATTGCTTAAAAAAGCAAGACCCAACTTCATGATGTCTACAAAAGACGCACTTTAAATATAAAGGCACAGATGGGACAGTAAACGGTTAACAAAATATTCATTATAGGCATCAGGCATAAAAAGACTTGAGTGACTATATTAACATCAGATAAATACCTTAAGACTAAGAGCATTGCTAGACAGAAAGAAATATTTCATTAAGACAAGAGGGTCAACTCATTATAAAGACTTAACCATCATAACTGCATGTCAGCCTAATAATGGAGCTTCAGAACACACAAGGCAAATGTTGTCAGAATTAAAGGGAGAAATTGACAAATCCACAGTTATAATTGGAGGCTTTAACACACTCTCAGCAACTGATCAGAAGCTCCATCTGCCATTCAATGAGTGGTTCCCAAAAGAAAACATCCACAGTGTCCAACTGATGGAGATGAACCAGGGAAGTCACCGCTTCATTCTGGACACTGATGTGTTAGTAACTAGAGAGCTGCCAATTTTGAACATCTACTGTTGTGTGGGTCACTTGAGTTTAGTGCAATAATTCCCTGCCTGGGGCTAGACCTCAGAACCACGTGGAAAGATTTTGAACAAGACCTATGCTTGGGTCCCACCACTAACAACTCTGGCCCCACTGCCAATGACTGATTTAGCCTGTCTGGGGATGACCTCCAGCATCTAGTTTCCTTACAGCTGTCCAGAGGCTGTCAGCGTGCCCGCGCTGCTGTGTTATTTCATACAATGGCTTTCGAGGGTGATTAAGAGTTGCAGGTCACATCTTAACACTGAGTCTATGTTGGTCCCCATCACCCTCCATTCATGGACAATTGCAATTTTGGAGACAAATATAAGGGTTTTATATTTTTAACATGGGATGCCATTTGATTACAATCAATACTTCTTCCACTAAAAATGCTCTGAGATTCCCCCCTTTCACCATCCCCAGTCCTGCCATCCT